GTGGCACTGCGACTACTATGGAAAGGCATGTCGCTTACCACCACATGGCGCACGACTTGTTCGTTCCTTCAGTTGGTAACATAAAAAAATATCATTAGACGATAACACATAATTTAGACTCTGGACACTTGACAATTACCGTCATATCTGTGTCAGAAGCAAATAATAATAAAATACACCGGTTGTAACAAATAATATCACAAAAATGTTGAAATAGTTTTTAATTTATGTTCATAGAGAAACGCGCGCGTGGGCACACAAAAACAAATGACAACCGAATGGTCTCCCGAATAATCGCCAACAAATTTTGTTACGAGACAAGCATCAAAAGAAAAAAAAAACTACGCGAAACCATTAGCAAAAAGTGGAGGGTTATAAAAAAGAGATTTATTTATTGATTGTCTAGAATTAGCATAATGCGATGTAGCAAGGCCGTCTTCTTGTCGGACCGATGGGTTTCAAATTTGTGACAAAATGATAATCTTGAATAAAGCTTATTAGGCAAAAAATGTTCGTATAATGTGAAATCTTCCACCAGCCTACGTCTTTGATCAGTTAGATTTAGCTCTACCACTAACATGGAATAAACAACCAGAGGAATTTTTTGAGCATGGTTATTAGTAATACAAGTCTACAACCTAGTACCTACGGAATCCAGCTCTCACTATGGAAACTTGGTATTTTATGTAAGATTGTAACTACTAGGTCGAAGGTAAATTTTTGTATTTCTATCATTGACTTACAATTATATGGACGTCGGGTCCACGCTAAAAAGTGTCCGAACTTACAGAGCGTTAAAATCATATACAGAGCGTCATTCACGCTTTAGTCTTCGTTTGTTTGACTGACAGCGAAGCAAGCAAAATTAGACAGCACTGCGATGACATTACAATTTAAATTCAACGTTTTAGCATTTCCATATTCCTTTACATATCACTACGTTTAAATAGGTTGACTTGGGACATTTTTTTTCGTGGTTTTTGCATTAGACCCGTCGTCCATTTATTTGTAAGTCAATGATTTCTATAGTATTTTTTTTATGATACCAAGGGAGTTACGCGAAACTCTGTCCACGACATTGGCGGTGGCACTCAGAGCTTGAAATCACAAAAACCTGCGAGGCACAGCCATAAAGTTGACAAGTCCCATGATTCTGTAATTTCTCTGGGATCCTTCAAAACAGGAACGTAGTTAATGCTCTCATTACTGCTTGGCGTCAGAAATAGGTAAGATGGCAGTACTTCCTAGGACGATACTTCGCAAGATGCTCTACTACCACTAAAACATGATTATTGCGGCCCCATTAACTTTATCAAAGTGTGTTCCTAATTAAGAACCTGCCTTGAAAGTTATTTTCGTTTAGTGAATCGGCATTATTTAGGTGTGCATGCTTCATCGCAGACCTCATTGTCACGTTCCCTCAAGTGCAATAGAAGTCCAATGCGCACTTATATATATATTTTTAATCTTCACGAATGTAAACACATTTACATTCCTGAAGTACGTAGACGGAGTAGTTGAAGAGAAAGGTATATCTTTCAGTGTGGACTAGGTGCACAGGAAGACAACAGACGTTATACACGCTCGAAATCATTTCTTAAATACTAAGTAATCGTAAACTTTGTAAGCTTAAACTAATTGGATACAAATAATGAACCGAAGCTTGACAAATAAATGAAATAAAAAGTAATGAAATAATATAAATTAAAAGTACCTTTTTCTAAATTGAAATTAATCAGAAACAGCCCATAGAATCAAAAGCTTTGAAAAATACGTAACGTTTATAAAACATTTAAAACCAATACTAACAAATAAATTCACACACGTCAAATGTCTAGATTTTTTTTCAGATAACTTTCAGTAACTATAAATTAAACGTACAGATAAAATAACCTTTCAAAACCAAACAAAAATACTACAATAATCCAAATGAATTTTTCAAAGATAAATATTATACGACATGTGTTAAATATAATTACTATATAATCACATTGCTATATAATATATAGATCTCTACAAAAATGAAGTAAATAGTAATAAATGTTATTAGTTAATAGCTGGCATGTTTAAGTTTTTAAGATTGTATAATTGTGTTGGAGATTTATATTTATTTAAAGACTAAGTGCCCTCTGCCCTTGTTAGCAACACCCTTACGGAGTATCATATAATAATGACCTATATGTTGCATAAGATCTTTGTATGCCTTATAAGGAGTAACAAATTTAAATTAATAATAACACACACACATAGCCACGAACTAGGAAAACCCTGTGTTGCGGGTGCCACGGACACACACAAAGACAACCTACACCCAAACTCACGAGATAAATAAATGTGGGCCATACAAATATCTCTATCGCCACAGAGGCAGATTTTGGTTTTGAAATTGAAATTGAAATTGAATAACAAAAAGAACTTATTTCCAGTAGGTTTGTTATTTTGTGCCCATGAAATTTTTTATTCTTTTGATAATCTTATCTTCAAGACAAGACACTTTCTCCGTGTAAATGGGCCTTTAAGGTAAAAATTTTGTCGTATAGAACATAACTACGTATATATCTATTCCACTAGTTTGTTTATCTCACGGCCGCTACCATTTTACAAAAATAAGTTTTATATCTAGTTCTTAGGTTTTCGCGATTGTTACACATAGAAAATGAAACTATTTTTCCGGATTTAAATAGCGTATATTTGTTTTTTCAAACAAACCGACGTTTTAATTCATTATTAATTATTACTGATGAACTTAATAAAAATTGATTCAATAAAATAATTTGTAAAACTTAATGTAGCGTAAATTTGAATGTTTTCTTTGTAAAATTATAAATAAGGTATTTAATTAATAACTATTGTAACTATAGTGAAAAAATAGGGTGGTTTGCATCAATATTAGACATAACTGGTTGAAGACTGTACCACCTCAGTCAACCGTGACCATGGGACCTGTAAAGGGCCCGAAACGTCGGTTTGTTTGAAAAAACAAATATACGCGATTTTAATCCGGAAAATTAGTTTTATTTTCAATAAGTTTTATTCTAAGTAAAACCATTTATGAAACAATGTCCCGCCTTTCGCAATCGTGCCATAAATCAAAAATAACAAAAAAAGATGTAACGTCGAATGAAAAGACGTGGCTGTTTCCGGGACAGTAGTTCCGGAAATAGAGCCCGAGACTTCGTCTGTTAGAAGTGAAGCGAATGGAATGAAATCTTGTTACACTGCCGCTGAGTTTGCAGTCGAATATACTTGATTAGTTGTTTGTGAATAGTTAGTTATTGGAAAGTTTACTGTGCGAGAAAGCGCACCAAACATTTACCAAAATACTTTAAATTTTTTTATGTAACCGCTTGTTACATTAACTATTTCTGCCGCCAAGTAGCAATATCAGCATTACTGCGTTCCGGTTTTGAAGGATAAGGGTGCTGGTGAAATTACTGGCACATGGGACTTGCCAACTTGTGTCTCAGGGTGACGAGCGCAGAGCAGTTCCCCTCAGATCTAAGAAAAAAATATGCGTCGGGATGAACAAGTTTTGCACCTGGTGGTAAGCGACACGTCTACTCTTAATAGTTGCAGTGCTACTCAGAGCTTTAAATCGCAAAGTTCAGAACGGCACTGTCACTGCGTCACCGTGACAAGTACCATATGTCTGTAATTTCACCTACTGGTGGTGGTGGTGATGGTGGTTAGGGCACTCCCTAACCCTTGAAAACCGAAACATACTGTTTGGCGTCAGAAATAGATAAGGTGGCAGTTTTTCCCTGGACGAACTCTTTCACAAGGAGATCTACTGCTACTAAATAATAAGCTATCGACAAGATTGTTATAATTATTAATACAAAGATCGAACACTCAGAAAAAAATCCTTCGATCCTTTTTCTGAGTGTTCTAGTGGAGTAATTTGACATAAAAACAATTGAATATCAATTCAATAACAATGTAAATACAATGAATAGCGACATCTCTAGCCAGGGCTGGTAGGTGTAAAGGTATCTAACTGGGTGACGAAATATCATAGATTTCTCATAGATGGCGCTACGGCTAAAAAGTCGTTGAAAAGCCAAATACGACGCAAGCACATAGAAAAATTCGTGACGTCCGCCGGTTCGTTCCGTGGCTCAGTTGGTATAGCGTCTGTCACGGTAGGCTAGAAGACGTCGGTTCGAATCCGGCCGGATAGAAGGTATTTTTTCTGAGTGTTCGATATTTGTATTAATAATTATAACAAACTAGTGTTATAATTGCCTCCTTGGCCCAACGGTTACCATGCTGCCACGCAGAGGTCCCAGGTTCGATTCCCCGATCGGGAGAAATATTCGTAGGGCCTACATTTATTTCTCTCGTGAGTTTGGGTGTAACTTGTGTCTATGTGTGTGTCCATGGCATCCGCCACACAGGGTTTCCCTACTGCGAGGCTATTTTGAGTGTGTCCTCTATTATTATTATTATAGAGGAGTAATTTCACATAAAAACAATCGAATATCATTTCAATAAAAATTTATCGACAAGATGTTTGTACGGAGTAGAAACAAGGACACTAGCCCCTACATTATGTAAACGGTTTAAGATTTCGAGAATCGTGTCTGGACAAAATTACATATTACAACTGTACGTATTAGTTGATTCTTTACTGAGTTGTTATAGCCGAAGCCTTAATTCATACCCAATTGTTAGGTTCGATTATCTTGATAAAACTAGTTTACTAAAGTAAACCCTCTACAATCTAATCTGGAAAGGTATAGGTATACTTATATAATAAGAATGGGTGCTTTCATAAAAAGTTTCTATCTATAAAGGAAAATTAAAGACATAATAAATAAAACACAACTTATTTATTTACAAAAACAGAACACTAGATACATACACTTTGTATAACTGCAGCAAAAAAAAAAAGGGACAATAACTCCGCAGTGTTTGAAAAACGCAGTGCTTTCCCAGCTCTGATTTTCATTTACTAGTTAGATTCCACCAGTCATTCTAACAAATAACCTTGTCGGCAGCGTGCGTAGAAGAAGAATGCATAGACTGGGAAGGCAAGTCGGTCCCACACGGGCTCCTGTACGTGCCGGGCCCAGGGGTTTGCTCACTCTGCGTGTGCTACCACTCGGAACCCATGTGGTGCAAGGCTATCTACTGTGACCCGCCTTATGTAAGTATTAAAAATCTTAGGTACACTCTTTTAAGATGCATTATTACAAACATAAACTGTTTACGACGTATTTATAGTCGAGTCAAAAGAAAGAGCAATTTCTCGGATTTGTAAAACGAGCGCAGAGCAACATTTTAAACTATTTCGTGTTCAACTGTAATTAACTACGAAAGTAATTTAAACTACGTATTCTGAAATATTGGCCATTACGCGGATTCTATTAGCATATCTTAGTAACTCAGATAAAACGCAACAGCGCAGCACGAATAAAAGACCAACCACAGTGTGTCGAATCGGACTAAGCTGGTCAGAAAAAGATAAATATTCATGTAAAAAGAGCAAAAACGATGTTTAACGCAAGCCATATGCGCAACGTCTCTTTCGCTCTATGCATAGACATATTTTTTTAACCAGCTCATTCTGATTCCGCTGTTATAACTGTTACTCTAGTTAACTACGTTAAAAACACAGTTCAAAGTCAACGTATAATGATGTATACCATTAGTAAATAACAATTATAAAATAAAATAAAAATCTTTTATTTCGGACCACAGTAATCCATATAAATTAGTAGGTTAGTAACATAACAACTTATAACTATGTTAGTTATTAGGGTTAGTAATTACATAACTAAAATTAATAAAATTAAAAATAAAATGAGACTGTCGGCTGTCCAAGCGGCTCACCGATTCGCACGCAGTATATGCAATTCGGTGAACCTCTGGAAAACTGCTGCATCCATCCTGTTTGCAATTAGCTTTAGGATCTTGTTATTGCTTCCCCTCACCCTTTGTACCACCATCAATTTTACTTCTTCTGTATGAGAGTTGTACGATGATACATAAAGATTTCTCAAATTGAAATCTATTTATTATTTTTATGATACACACCTGTGTAACCTTATAAAAGGGTTACAAGAATGCATTTTGGAGCATTGTAAGAAAGAAAGAAATAACATTTATTCGGCTATTCACAAATGGGGAAGCGTGGGGGAATGGGAGCCTACTAAGGAAAATTAATAATAAGTCTGCAATTTTTATTTTTATTACTTATGAACGTACGTTTCACATATCTGGGTACTAGATAATCACAGAAAAAATATGAAACAGAAATAATAATATTTGGTTAAAAAGAAAAAACTAAAACATGTAATTCGCTCCCATTACCCCACAGTTCGGGAAATGGGAGCCGTTAAGAATCCCGTATGTCAAATGGGAGCCATTATACGTAATCAGTCTGAAAAAAAATTAAAGTAACAAAATGTATAAGTTAAAAAGTAATGAAAATAAACAAGAAAGAGTTACATGAATATCCAATGAATATTGCAATGGGATAAGGAGAACCAAATAGCTCTCATTACTCGCGTAACATCATAATTGAAAAGGGAATAAAACAGTAAAAACATTTCTATTTTTATTGTGATTTCAAGCATAACTTCTAAAAATTGATAGATATGGTGACATATCTAGTGTAAATACAATGTATACTAAAGACATTCTAAGAAGATCCTTGCGACAGTACATTTGACGTTTGTCATAGAGATGAGGTAAAGTCGAGATTTTTATTATAGTGTATTCGATATTTGAAGCAAAGATTGTCTGTATAAAAGTTTGAATTATGATGATCGTCAGATGCAAATTTTAATTTAGATTTTCTCATTTCTGTCAATTTATAGTATCTATGCATTTTAATGCTTACCTGGGATGATGAAATTTGGCAACCTTTATAAGCGCGGACCGAAAAACACACAACCATCTCATACGACTAAACGGGGTTCTACGGGAGCGACGGGACTCGAATCTTGTCGAACGTTAACGAAGACATAGGAGTGCCGTTTGCACAAATACGAGCATTGGGAAAGTCCAGTTTTACACCGCTCTCATTACCTACGGGCTTCCAATATCCCACGTTCCCCTAATATTAGAATATAATAACTAACGCAAGACCTTTGAAATCACAAAAAGAAGATAACAAATAGATTAAAAACTAAAGTACACAATAACTAATTCAAACAACGTTTTGACCCGCAAGTGAATGTAAATTTCGAGCGTCATACATTTTTCGAAACATACCAAAACCTAGTTTAGTTTTACAATACATAATTTGTTTCATATTGTATTACATATTTATTTAAGACTTTCACGTCACATGCAGCTTCCTGGCATTGACAACATCGTACAATATTCACACTTAAAACCATTGAAATAAGCACTATCAACTTCTACCGGTCCACACTGAAATAAAATTTATGTTCTGAAACACAAAGTTGTATTTCTATGTGGCGCTTAAATTACGAATAACTTGGAATTTTCAAAATACCTCCGTTCACTACACCGTTTTATTGTTATAAACGAAAACTTGGAGTTTATGTTATCGTCTTCTTACTTCTTGTACATCTTTGTAACTATTGATACAATATAATAAGAGGAAGTAGAGCAACTCCCGCCGTAAATATCATTTCACTCACTAATACACTTCATTGAGAATGACAGTGACAAAAAGCAATATTGTGATGCAATTAAAGTACTGAAAATTGTGATAACTGCGGTTTCTTACTCAACGAAGATGTTTAAATGCTGTTTTTGCAAACAAGCCGACGTTTCGGGCCCTTTGGGACCTGTAAAGGGCCCGAAACGTCGGCTTGTTTAATAAAACAAATGTACGCGATTTAAATCCGGAAAAATAGTTTCATTTCTTATAAAAAGATCTTACAATAAACAAATAAAAGGATCTGTACGAGATTGATTAGACGACACTTGGCTAGGAAGTAATATTATTTAAGAGCTGTATAAGTAAATATAAGACTTTGGAGCAAGTAATAATGTTAAAATGTCGCAGTGGTTGAAATTTACCAAGGTGCATAATTTTAGAATATAAAAATTTTATCTTTAGTATGTGAAATAACTTCTGTAATCTGTCGAAATAAACAGTTTAAAATTTAAATTTTCTTAAATCAACTAACCAGCGTAGATCTGTCTCAATCCAGTACTATATTAGTCTTAATGCAAAACGACACTAACCAAAAAATTACGATATCCTTCACGGAGTTACTCGAAACCACTTTATTTTTGTTTAACTGTAAATTGTTGGCTTCACTGAAAATCAGCGTAACGAGATGTTTCCCTACGTCTCGTTACAAATAAGCTGAGTGGAGACCTTTTTGGTACCATCTTAAATATAATACTGTTTTATTTTAAGTAAATGTTACAATAAGGTTATTTTAATTTTTGTTTTTACGTTCTATTTGTATTATGGTTACCAAATAAACTATTTTTCTTTCTTTCTTTCTTTCTTAAATTGTTTCACAACTCAGCGATCTCTGTCACTATAAAAAAAGTCAGTATCGCGCTGTCTCCTATACACACTCCCCTTACACAGCATAACGTCATTACGTCATGTAGCAAATTCTAGACAAACAACGTACACGGGGGTTTTTGCATTATAAAATTCGTGCTCTCAAACCCAAGATGGCGTTAAACATTAAAAAAAGTGTTTTTTTTAATAGTGACGTTGTCATTCTCAGTGTGCTATAAAAGCGGAAGTAGAGCAACTACCGCCTGTTCGGCGCGTAAATGTAACTTCACACGATGCGTAGAGTTGTTACATTTTTATTATCGCTCTTATTGCATGACTGTAAAGATTTTTCTGACTGTCTCATGACAGCTCCGCCACCAATGAGAAGGTTTGATAGTCGGCTTAGAGTCGGCGGCGCAGCGGTGGCAACCGTTAGTCTTGCGCAACGGGAAGTGAGCGTGCCTACAGCTCCGGTACCTATCTGAAAAATAGTGAGGGTGCTGTACGTGCACCCGGGGAGGCACTAGCCTTACAGAGAACAGGATGAAGTGCGTGTAAAGGTGCTGATCCAGAGTTAGTACCTGACTTAGATGGTCACTGTGCGAGCTCGCTTGCACAGGTCGTAGTGGCCTTCCCGCATAACCAAGAGGGGCGAGAAGAGAGGGGCATTAGAAACAAAACTTATGTAGAAAGATATGGGATAGTCTCTTGCCGATTCAGCGTTAATAAGTAAGGTAACTCCTTAAAATACCTTTGCAATAAACTTACAACTATACAACTACCAGTGATCAGAAGGCTAGCAAGTACTTATGCCAAAGAATAAGCTTGGCCGTCCAAAATGGTGTTGCCGAAATGCATGACCAAAACGAGACTAACCCAGTCTGTTCTTGATCTGGCGTCAGTACACCTGATCTGCCGTCCGTTAACTAAAATACGCCTAAGTGATAAATGGTGATATATCCGTTTTTAATAGCAAAAGATTGAGCACACAATTCTCTTTTAAAAAGTTAAAATTAGTTAACGTATTCGACTATCGCGTTTTAGTCAGCGGAAAGCAGTGATCTTGATATTGTAGATTCAGACTTTGTGTTGATCCTGTGTCAGTAAACCCTGTGACAATGCAACCTCTTTCATCGTCATTCCACCTTTTTATTACCCTTTTCTCTGGTTCCTGGCCATCTATTAATAAATTTTGAATCGTTCTATAATTCCTTTTCTTCGTCATTCTTACTTTCTCCATTCCGTCACCACTCTTGACAAAATTTTAGAAGCGAGCACACGTGCTCGACATCATATCAAGTTCTCCTAAGTAAGTTCCTTTTTACCATGTCTAACGTGAATGTTATTAGAGTAGGGAGTGTTTTTATATGATTGTTCCTGTGTTAATATCGTTATTTTGTTTTGTTACAGCCTTTACTTTTACATTTATTCTTTTTCCTGTTCTTTACGTATTCCTATTTTACAATAAATGATGTGTACCGAGCCTTTAATTTCATTAGGTTTTCAAAACTCTCGCCCACAACGCCAGTGTGGTAAGAAGTAAGAATGACGAAGAAAAGGAATTAAAAAACGATTCAAAATTTCAATGTAGGTGGCAAAGAACCTGAGAAAATGGTGATAAAAAGGTGGGACGACGATGAAAGAGATTGCATCATTGGTATTGGTCTTGGTATCGCAGATTAAGTCTTGGTCTATCTCGCATTTACATGCACACAATACTGAGTTTGGGCAACACTAATCCATATAGTGTTGCCCAAACTAAATAAAAATAAATATAGGGATAAATAACTTTGCCTCCTGTGCATATGACTCAATGTATACGATCCTCGATAAAAAAAATTATCTTTACACCACGCATTAGTAACCTCAATGAGGCAACAGACACTGTTTCGAGTCCAGTCTGATCGAGAGAATTTTTCTTTATGTTTGTTCATGTGTGTACCAGTAATAATAGATGAAATAAATGTTAAAAAGTTTGCATTTTTTTAATATACCTACTGTGACGGTGTGACCTCCTTACATCTTTTTATCGCCTTTCTCCGGTTCCTGGCCACTCGTATTTAAATTTAAATTTTGAATTGTTCCATTTTGAATTGTTCCAATTGTTTTTTAACTGCCTCCGTGGCCGAACGGTTACCATACCGAACTGCCACGCAGAGGTCCCAGGTTCAATTCCCGGGCCGGGAGAAATATTTGTGTGACCTACATTTATTTATCTCGTGAGTTTGGGTGTAATTTGTGGTTGTCTATGTGTGTGTCCATGGCACCCGCGACACAGGGTTTCCCTAGTGCGGGGCTATGTTGGGTGTGTGCGTTATTATTATTATTATATTATTATTCATTTCCTCACATTCTGATTTTGTTCGTTCCATCGCCACTCCCTGTTCGATCGCGCGGCAGCGAACACGTCTTCTCTTCTAATTTTTTTGAGCCGTTTTTACCAAAAATCACTTGTACGATAAACATTTTAAAGAACATAAATATTTATAAAACTGGATTTATTACCACAAGTTTCTTACCTCTTTTGAATTCTGAACGTCAAACTACTAAGCAAGATTATGGAGGCGCGCTGGCTGCGGAGACGACTACTCTCCCGACAACATTATAATCAACAGAACTCCACCAGCACCAGCAGCACCCTCACACTACTATATTATTACAGTCTGTCTTTTTTGACGATAGAGTAAAATTACAAATGCAGGGTTTCCAGTTTTCATAAAATTTTAAATAGTTATGTAGTTGTTGTCGATAGTTTTATCGATAGATTGTAAAAGAAGGTAAATTTTTGCCGAAAATGGCTGAATTGTGAATGTACCGATGTTCTAATGATTAACAATTGCGTTATTGCCTTCTTTATTCTTATTGCGACAGTTAGCCTACTAGTATCGAGGTCAATTTTTATTCACATACATTTTAACAAAATATTGAACTAAAATGAAAAACTATAAAATGTGTCTCCTCTTTGATTTTTCATAAACATAGTCCTAAATGCAGTGTATGTATGTATGAACTTACAAAAATGACAATTCAAATGAACTTGTGCTCTGTAATTGGATGAATAATGGGTCGATGATGATTCCAATGAAACAAGTTCGGCTATCTATAAGCGTGGCCAATATTCAGTCGATAGTCGATAGAATGTTTATCGTCTGCAATCACTGGCTGCTCGCAAGCGAGCAACACTTTTGCGCAATAAACTGTCATTTTACTCCGTCTTCAAAAAACAGAGACTATAGCTTTTATTGAATGCTTAAAATAATTCTTTTCCGGCAGTTCTGCAAGAATTTCCGCAAAGGCGAGAGTTGCTGCGAATTCGAATGTCTCGACCCTCCCGGAGAAGACACAAGGTACCAGGAGAGGCAGAGACTGCGAGCCCTCATCCTCTCGGGCAACTCATCAGCACCCCACGTAGCGCCCTCTGTGGAGCTGAAGGCTGGCATCAGTTTGCTCGCCATGGCCGTAGCTAGAATCGTATGAGACTTGTAAAATATAGGTTTTAAAATTTGTGGATGGATATCGTTGATTGCGAGTGACTGATGCTTTGTTAATGGAAGTAATACCTGCCCGGGTTTCCACGAAAAGGGTAGAAAAAAATATGTGAAGTAAATAGGGATTTTTTTTTATTTTAAGGGCTAAAGAAGCGCTGCAGCGCCACTGTCATGACATTAGCGATGGCCGATTGTTACTAAATAAAACATCGAATAAATCGATAGTTGCACCTATATTCGATTTTTAATTTAATCGTCTTTACAGAAAAATAATCGAATATAGTTATTACTAATTAAATTTCCGGTGTCTAAAAAGAGGTCCTCTATACTATGGTACGGAATCTGAGAAAAAAAACGATCCTATTACCTAGTTAGTACCAATCGATCCTGTAACTAATTTAATATCTAACAATCAATCCTGTTACTTTTGCGATAGTAACTAATTGATATCAACCATCGAATTATTTCGATTATGTTTATCGAATCGAATAATTCGATTTTTTTTAGTAACTATCGCCCATGGCTACGTGACATGCGCGCGCCTTTTTTGCAATAGTAACAATTAATGAAGTAAGACGTAACGAGCGGCTGCCACACGATGTTTTCAAGTTTAAAGTGTCTTAGGTATTTAAATATTTGTCAATGTTTTTCCGCTAAACTAACAAAAGAACAATGTAATTGATGAACATGATCTTTAACTATTGTATACCTACTGTTCTTATTCATATTATCACTTACTTTTGTTAATGCGAGTTTAGCAATATTTTTTGAAATTTCACGAACCAACGAAATCAAATCAATCAACGTCAAGGAACTAACCACTCGGGTAGCGGTCAGTATTAATCAATCAGGATTGATGAGTTTCGTATTAGTTAAATTTTAAAAAATATTCAAAAATGGTCGCTGCAAAACAAACGGCTGAAAATAGAGCATGAGGAATACGTTTATCAATAGTAACATGTTTTGGAAAGATTTCGCAATTTAATATTCCGCTCAGGCTGAATCGAAATGACGTCACACAGAAACATTTCTTTTGCAGACCTCATTTAAATGTATATTTGTGGCGGCGAATAATCGCAGAAAAGAAATAAGAAGAATAATTTTAGTACTCGAATGGTATTCAAATTACAGCCTTATTCTATTAATCATAGCAAGTACAAGGTGAAAGTCTTTGTCTACTTTGTGTTGCCAGCTTACGGCACTATGGCGTCTTGGCTCTCTATTGGCCTCATATCAAGGTCAGTTAAAGATGTGTTCTGTGACCTACGGCTCTGAGACGTGGTCATTTATCACTTACTATGGGCCTCATAAGAAAGTTCAGCCACTCAACGAGCTATGAAGCGAACAATGCTAGGCATTTTTCTACGTGATCGAATTAGAAATGAAGAGATCCGTAGAAGAACGAAAGTGACCGACATAGTTCAAAGGATTAGCAAGTTGAAATGGCAGAGAGTTTTTGAAACTGACGGTCGTTGAAGCAGAAAGGTAACCGATGGATGCACGTCGCGTCCGACCGGCTAGTATGGCAATCTTTGGGGGAGGCCTATGTTCAGTAGTGGACATTTCCCGATTGATATATATGATAATGATAAACCGACATAGCCCAAAGAATTGTCAAATATAAGCAGCAATGGTCGGAGCACATTGCTCGTAAAACAGATGAAGAAAAAACAGTGTGGGTAGGCCGATTCCACATGCTTAAAGGTAGTTTTCCACTGACGAGGCGAGACGAGTATTGAAATTTGTATGCGAAAATTTCAATGTCTCCTAGCCCATCTTCGATGGAAATAGTCTGGACTGACGAGGGTGGGTGAGGCGAGAATTAAAATATTTGTTGATGTAATATTGAACCGTATTGCTGCCTACGTAGAGTATTATACTCTGCAACGGCAACACTCGCCGCGTGCTCGCGCGAGATTGAGGGGTATGTACGATTTGAGATTTAAAAAAGAATAGGTGGTTTCATCTCATTCTTCTTTACTTCAGTCGCGTATTTATCGATAGATGAACTGATCAGCACTGAATCTTGACTATCCATAATCACAGTGCGAGTAATATTATTAATTTAATTTAATTAACGATTTTAGTGAAAACAGGCCGGCGAGATATTAATTCTTGTCTCTCCTCATCTCGCCTCGCCGGTGGAAAACCACCTTAAGAGTGATGTTACCAAATAATATCTTGAAACTTCGCTCTAAGTGACAGGATTGCGATCCTTGTCCATCAAAATAATGTAGTCACTGTTTATATCATCAGGTGTTATATCCTTTCGTTTTCATTGTAAACCTTGTGTCCTCCAGCTACGGTATATTTGAATTTAACAAACGTAATAAACTTTTGGACCAATTTTATGTAACCAAGTAGCAATCATATATTTTATTTCTCTATAATTTCCATGTTCAATGTCGCGTGTCCACTAGGCTAGATTTATAGATAAAATAACCATTATAATTTTGTTTAGTTTTAACCGTTAGATTTTTTCGTAAATAAGTGACAATTTCATAAAGAATCGTAGTTTTTGTGGATATTTCTAGACTACAAAATGTCTAAATGTTACCTGCGTTTCAAAAGATTTACCTACCTAGGTACTTGGTGCTCGATATGTAGGTACTTAGTCGATTAA